TATACTACCATACTAGCAGTGCATTTTTTTTGATACAAAATAAGCAAAAGGATGCATACTAAAAGCTAGAATAAGTAAATTTTCGCCATTTGTTTGAAACAACGTGTCATTTTGCTGTAAGCATTGCTACATGGCTATTACGTAAAGTTATGAATTTACTATGCTATTCTTTTATGTGTCACGCACTATGTATTGTACCCCCCCCCCCTCTCACATGCATCATTTTTTCTACCTCGAACCTATTCAACACCTTATTCAATAAGAATTCATTTCAATACGTGCTTCCGAACAGCTCTCACGGCTCCACCTACTCGCCATTCCGACAAGTTGTCCTAGCAACCTTATCTTCAACCTTTTCTCGAACAACTACAATAGTGCAAGAGGCAATATGTCGTTGGTCGCCATGTGTAGCTCACCATTATGCTGACTTTTGAACTGGCTTCTTGCCCATTTTTGGTCATCAACTGAGAAGTTTTGAATTTTTGGATTCCTGTGACACATTTAAACAAAGCGACAACAAAAAAGCGCCCAATTTTTTTCCAACATCAGAAACCTGCTCTCCCTTGCCTACTTTCCCTTTTCAAAGACTCAAAGAAGCGCGCTTTAGCTTTTTCGACTACAGAAAGATAATGATAGCTACAATAAAACTTTCAAATTTTTTTTGTCAGTTCGGCGGAACTGTTGTTCGGCTTCACACGCCCTAAATCTCATGATCACGATAATGTTAACTTTCACTTCAAGTTCAGAAAAATAAATCACACGCCTATCTACACTTGGTTATTGAGTGACTTGGTTCGCTGCTTCCAAATTCAAAGTTCTTTGGTTCTTTCCCAATAGACAATAAATTTCCTAGATCGCAAATTAATGTACTGAGCCCTCTTTCGATCTAGATCTACAAATTATTGTACTGAGCTTAATCACAACCATAGCAATTATGTTCGCAAAAAATCAATAGCAGGTCAAAGTTTTCGACAGAAAATTACATGATCAATCTCTGATTCGGTAATTACTGCAAAATGTGCAACTGGCTATATATTTGAATAAAAATTCCTAGAAGCCTAGGAAAGAGCTGTCGTCGAAAGCGCAAAATCTAGTAGATAAACAATCGTAAGCCTCAATTCAAAAATCTTCCAGCAGCGGGAAACCGCGGCGAGTCACGAAGCGAACGCTTTCCAAATAGCACCTTTAGGCCCCGGGCAGACTTCACGCGATTTGATCGTCGCGACTGAATCGCGACGAGACAACTGTTACAACATCATTCCATGCCGATCAACTTGCTTTCGGTTGTGATACTTTTCCAGCCCGAAATTTTTGAATGTGAAATGAAAATGAATGGAAATGTCGGCGATTGAGTCGCGACGATCAAATCGCGTGAAGTCTGTCCGGGGCCTTAGATTACTAATTCTCTAGTCACTACTCGTTCATGAAATCGTGGAACAAGAGCTCAAAAAATGTCATTTTGAAAGCGAAAAACTCTTTCACGATGTAATTTTTAACTGAAAATTTTGATGATTAAAGCTCATTCTTTAATATTTAATTATATCCCAACCCAACAAAAGGGACTTCGGACTCATGAAGTTGGAGAAGGCATAAAGAAGAAGTTTTGTGAAATAAAAGGCAAGCACTGATTGTTCATCATCTTGATAGTAGCACAACTTCCTCCTTTCCTTTTTCTCCCCTCTTTTCAACAGAACCTCCTAATGACGGTAACTGCACATTCCTGCACGAACTACCTATTTTGTTCAAGCCTCAGCTAATCCAGATTGAACATGCCAACAATCTATGATTTTTGACTTTTGTATATGTTTGCTCTATGGAAAGGTGACCGCACTTGAATAGGTCACTAATTTGGAGATAGATAATAAAAAGATTTTTATGGGACTCGTAAAAATGTAAGTGCATGCTTGTTATCAGATTCATAAAATATTTATTAACTTCTTTGAAGTCTAGGAGAGAATTTATCGAGTACGGCCTAAAATTATAAATCATAGACATTATGTTTTTAATTTTGTCACGCACATGGTGCACTCAGATAGAACTGTTTGTTGTAGTGACAGAATGCTTTAGGAAAATAGTTCACCTAAATTTTTATGAAGTGAGCAATAAAACTTGAAATTTCATTCTGTTTCCGATAACTATAAGATTGCCTTATTTCTTCTATTTAAGTGATCGTTTTCTTTTTTAATAGCACTTTGTCTATTTATGTACATCTCGAAGCAGAGGAGTTTTTGAATTCCAAAAATTCCAGCGCTAGAAATTGACTTCGTTTCAAGATATCTAGAAAGAGTGTACAGAGGTGGGGTTGGAGCAAAAATTTTTAATCATGCTCAAAATTTCTGCTTCTTACTTGAAAAAATGACCACAAATGATCTGCAATTGCATATAGCATGCGATAAATTCGTATTTCATGAAAACGCTCCACTTCCTTTTCATATGATTCGCGGAACAATTACTAACGCTACAAGCGCAAATCTAATAGCTTCAAGAATCACTTCATCCACTCAATCTACAAACTTTATGCCAGTTCGTTACCGTGGTAATTCATTTTTTCCCGTGCGCAAATCATTTACCAGCAATTTTTCTTTCTATTCAATGTGTAATATGTTGCATTCAATATCATTGCAAAAAATGTAGCACTGCTACAATCAAGGTTTCAGTTTATTAGCAACTTAGCTACAATATGTTAGTTATCATTGCTTGTAGCGCATTCTTCTATGTGTCCTTTCTCTTTAGTATTTTCATCCATTCTTCGGAGAACTCTGTTCTGATATCTTATCCAGTCCTACCTGCCACACTATGAGAAATATAATAAACATGTATGAAATTACGAAATGCACTTTGACAAATACGGAAAGTCAGGATACCGTATTCCAAATTTAGTAGATTTACCGATATCACCTTCATAGCTTTCCAATCAGTAATTCTGTAATGATGTGTACATTTAAGCGCGAACTGTTCAACTTTTCTATCCTTGCAGCTTCATTGTGTCTGTGGTAGATAAATCTACCCATTTCGTACCTCATCTGCTCTCCAATATTCAAGAAAAATAATTTTTAACATGTTGGCATCAGTTCTTCTGACTAGCACATTGAGCAAAAGCTTGCAAATCATCAGCCTGTTCTAAAAAGTCAAATCATCTGCAAACTTCATGTTTGAAAATCTCTTTATACTCATTCTATTCACCTTAACAAATTCACTCGAAGAATATAGGATAACCTCTGGTCGAAGTAATCTCTAAACCCGACTATGCAACTTCTTGCTTTTCAACAAAATTTTTGACAGTAATCAGCGAAAACTCAGTCGAAGTAAAGTTAAAATGACCAAGAATACTCGGATTATCTTGATCCTTGTTAGTATACCTCGACATTATCACTAGCGGCATTGTTATTGCAGATCCCCGTAAAAAATCCCATTTAGTAGATGCGAATGACATTTGAGTTCATTGACAGCAATATTGAAGCGTATGCCAGAAATTTGCAAAACAATGCATAAACCTTCTTATGCATATACGCAGCTTCTCCTCTTCTTATCGTCTCGCAGATTTGTTTTAGCTTAAAAACTTTGTGCCAAATTCGAAAACCATTGGTTTGACATGATGTCTAATTGGAGAATACCTAGACATTTGGCCGTCTCGAAAATGTCTGATTCGGTAACTGATAGGATTTGGTCAAACTGTAGTACGAGAAAACGCCAGCTGCTTTTCCTTTTGATTATCCTTATTTCTGACGATTTATAGACTTTTAAAAAACTTTGTTCTTTATCAAAGTTTTCATACTGTGACACTTGTTACTGCACTTCTTTTACAGTAGCTTGCATACTTTTTTTTCCAAGCCATTATGGCTTTGCAAGTGAAAGCTTATGATATTCTGTGCAAATAAATTCAAATTCTGCACGTAACTCGTTACTTTATTAGCCTCTTGATGGGTAAGCAAGGTGGAGTTTTGTGAGCTGTAACCTTATTCATTTCCTCACAACACATTAGCTTTCTTGGGGTTACCACAATCCTCTCAGACTACAATAAAAATATAATCAGACTGCTAGCAGGTGCTACAAGTCGAATGCACTAGAAAAAGATCTAACTCAATAGCTGAATAAGTAATGAACACATTGTAGTCGCTACAGTAGGACGAAGGATGCAAAAAAATACATATACAATTCCTTGACTGGTTTTTTGCCCAATCAAGGATACGATTATGTTTGCAAATTTTTTCCTGCAAAGAGACACCATTAGAAACTACGCACATGGAAAACAAAGATATATGAAAATGTTAATATTTTTCTTGATCAGTTCTCCAAGATCTTAAAGAAATTTGTTGTTTGTATCAAAGGGCTATTCTCAGCACTTCATCGGAACTATCAATTGTTACCTTGAGAACAGCTTGACAAATTTCATTATCCATTTATTGGAAAGTTCATTATACTCCGAGATATTTCGCTAAAACCTTTCATGCTGTCCACCTAGTGGTCCCAATACTAGAGCTCTTTGAACAAATGGGTCAAAAAATGAAGTAAAAGAAATGTTTTTTGACTTTTTTTAGCTTCGAATATTCAATGATAAACGTAATAACATTCCATTAGCACAAAATTGGAATGGATTTTGTAGCGGTTTTATGGACAAAAATTCGATTTTCGCTTGGATTTTGAAGAAAATCCGTTACTTGATGAGAAAACTAATAAATGGCTCCAGATTTGTAAACTAAGATCTCATTTAATTATTCACACGGTCTCCATTTTTACCTTGTGCTTGTCTCATGTCTTCTTGGGAAGCCTTGGGAAAGCATGTGATCTCAAGTGTTCGCATAAAGCCATAAAAAGTGCTAAGACTTCTCACTAAGGTTTCATCCAGCGTTTGTCAACACTTGAGTCATAGTTGCTGTGTGCAATTGCAGAATTATGATTTTTTCTTTGTGGTTACTGTAGCCATGCAAACAGATCTTTTTGAATTTATCAGGATTCAACATCATTTACTATTTTCACATCTCATTCATTTATAGGCAAGGATGGCGTCGGCGTACGCGCCACCGAACATACCGATACAACCGAAAAATGGTATGATACGGACATACGATAACCATGAGAGGACATTCACGCGACCATATTCGGCAAAGACAGTGTTCTTCTATAAAGAAGGAGATGAATATTTTACGGTTAGTTTTTTTTTCTAAGTTTTCCCGCAAAGGTACATACATAGTCATCACTTTTCACAAATCCATTCGAACTGAGAAATTCTTAAGTATCTTATTTTTTACTGAAGTCTTTCTCATACACTTTCACATAACTGATTGTGACACCAAGTACAAACGCGGGGTTGCTGCTTTTACTCATGTCATTAAGTAAATCACATTTTAGATCCAATATGTTATCCTATGGACTTTATATTCGCAGTCCTAATGAAACGAGAACATAAAAAGCATAACGAAGTTTTTTAAAATAGAACCACCAGCGCACTTTAGGAAGCAAACCTCAAAAAGTGAAATTTTTCGGAGTGTCTTAGGGTCAGGATCAGGTTTCTCCAAAATTATAGAACCTAGCTCAAGAGGTATTGAAGGTATTGCTTCTGAATTGCTTTGCTTTCAACAATAAGTCGATATAAAAAAATTAATATAGAAATATAATTATATAATCTATATATAATTTAGAAAAGGTAATTCTCATAAGGGAACTGTCAGAAGTCGCAGTGACCCTTTGACATGAGGTACGTAGGTGCTAACAGAAGCAGCTTGTAAAGCTGATTCTAGAACAGCCTTCTTTAGCTGCAGAGTCTGGGTCGGAAGTTACAAGCATTCTGATCACCAATTTTACATCGTCAGAGGAACTCTGTGATCTTGGACATTGTTCGGATGTTTGTTAAGCACTACAGCATAACATTCAAAACGGAGTAGAATTATAAAAAACATTGAAACTGTTCTATCTGTTTAAGCCTAAAACACATAGTAGTTGTAGTTTAGGCTGCACTCTGCGTTGCCAATCTCACGCAAATTAAAGTTAATCACTCCTGACCTACATTCGTTCTGCAGCTGAGAAAAACTGTTTTGTAATTAGCGTTTTAAGCTGCTTCAGATGATACCTACCTCATGTCAATAGGCCACTGCGACTTCTAGTACTTCCCTTGTCAGAGTACCATGTTAAGGGCAGTCCAGGCAGGTTCGCGCCCTGTGGGACGTGGCTGTGGTGGGGTTCCTCACCCCACTAACCTGGTCGAGTTCGGCTGGTTGATGTTACCCCTGTGCCGAAAAAATAGCCCTCAAACCGGAGGGCAACTCCAATCGGAGGGGCCTCGGACGGCTTCGCTTATGTGTTCTCGCGGGACCCCACAACCACTGTGCATGCGGTGGGAGAAGGCCGCCAGCTTGAGCCGCCTACGCGGACTATTGGTCCTGAAACGACATGCGACAGCATTGTGAAAGCACTAGTTGATCGCGGAAGGCGGCTCAGACTGGCGGCGTTCGTTCCCCTACCCCTGTGCTCGCTATCCAAAGCAAAAATTACAGGCGGCAAGATCTTCCTGCCAGGCCTTCCCATTTTCTATTGAAACTCTTCCGAGTTGATTTTTGGAAAACGGATAAACGCCCAAAAAACGGCCTTTTCACCCGGTTTAAAGAGTCTGGTCTAGGTGTCGGAAAAACCCAAAACGAAAAATCATAGACCTTTAACTCGCTAACCTTTTCACCTTTGAGATATGGTTATCATGTGCAAGAGGATACACCGGGCTCGGATGCCTTACTTTCAACTTGCAAAGATTTGCTTACTGGCATCGTGAAGCACATGGATAAAACGGAAGGACTAACGTTTATTTTTTACCACGAGTCAAAAAATGCAGATAAGTGTAATACACAGCACATCAAATAATGTTAACTTCTTAATTTTCTTTGAATCGCTTTTCCAAATATAAAATTTTCATTTACTTAAAAGCAATTGGAACTTCTTCTTCAAGGTCAACAGTCACGAAGAAAAATTACAGAATTGAACAGTGTCACAACTTTCGAATGGCTGTGATTTAATTTCGGATTTTCCATTGTTTTGTATGAATCTCAGCAAAATTTTTTGAATACTCTTCAGTACATTCTACCCGAGTTCAAATGCGTTGTTTTTATATTTCTTTTGAATTGCTCCAATGCTCAAATCACTAATCAAGGCAAAAAAGCGAAATCTGCAAGACGTGCTTGATATCACGCTCACACATACACACAATTCTTTCCTACAGTCACCATAGAAACGGCACTAATCCTGAGAGAAAAGAATTTCATTAGATATCTCCCGAATAGCGGCAAACTACTTGAACGAACATCTGAGTTGTCCACGAGGGAATGGGCAAGAATCACATAAGGAAAAATCTTTTAAGAAATTTTATCTATCACATACTGTAGTAAATTTTAGTGGGGCCGATTGACGGCGAGACTAGGCTCCCTACCTCTCGTTTTTGCGACTCGATCCCCACCATAGATATTGTAGAAGTCCATGAAAATTCTGCCTGCGCGACAGTATCGCCTGCTATCTCTAGTCGAAATTTGGGCTGCGGCAGACGACTATGAGGAGTATGCACAAGGAATTCATGCACCTTCATTAAAGGAAAAGTAAAGGGGTCGCGAATAAATGTAAATAAAGAAACGAATGAGTTCTTGCTCCCCACCTTCGTCCTAGTCGTCCTCGTTGTGTTGCTGTTGGGTAGCGCACTTGAGCTTCGTCCGGACTTGCCACGTGGGTCCTCACTAAGGTAACCTTAAGATAACAGAAAAAACAACAAAATATTGAAGTCTGGTTTGCAAAGACCGCTAACGCCAACACCTCAGAATTAGGTAATCAAACTCTTTATTTGTAGAATTCAACAAATGAACACAACCAACATCCATATCGAACATATAACATACGAGCATTAACATTTGGGATTAACAGATTTGGAATCATGTAGCATGGCTTGAGTAAGATCTTTCATCAAACCGTGATGTGAGTAGACAGCCAACATGACAAATTTCATAACAAAGAATTAAAGGAGGCAGGTATTGTGTACCGAGTATAAAGAGGTATGAACTAAGTGGTGACATCGTCTGGTCAAACACGAGGAAATAACAGAACACGGCCGGATACATATATTTGATTTTGGCGCGGAATAGATCAATAGGTGCTGAGGCCAGTGGTGAGATCGGGCTCAGCACACCCCGGCCTACGGCTTGATAGCGAAAGTTTGTGGATTATCTTTCCAACTGATCTCTTTTTTGTGTAGCGAGCACAAACTTATATAATGGGTGCTCTCGCGAGTTACACGGGATCTTGTTCCCACGCTTTCTGCTTTTTTTTTCAAGACAAAAGATGCATTAATGGCATAAATGAAGGGGCTCAAACTCGTTTCTCGTTCTTCTGCCTCATAAGTTGTATGCAGGCGTCCTCGCTGTACAATTGCTGGCAGAACGCACAAACGTGGGTTTTCCTGGTGAGGCTAGGAGAACGCACTTCATGTGATCCAGTTTCCTATGAAGAAACGATAGTTTGGGTGGGACTGGCATCCTCTTGGCGAGCTCTTGTTTCGTTTTGTTTCTGCTTTGGTCTTCCTTCCACTGGTCTTTCGTGATGAGTTTGCTGATCTGATTCCGTGATGATGTTGCAACTCGTCCCTTAATAGTTCCGAAATATGTGTGATTAGGATCATCGAGTTGACAAGCAGCGACTTTTCTCTTTCAACTTTTCCTCCAAATGGGCGGCTTTTTTCTCTACGAACGGAAAGCTGCACCACATGTTATGCAACCTTGTCTTCGAATTTCAAAATTTCCCCTTGAGCAACGTTGCTACAGTGCGGTGGAGTCTCAGGATGGAGTCGGTGTCCGTCGGTGTTTGCCTTGTAGTGGCTGGTATCATCCATCTTCTTTTGGGGGCGCTCGATCCTATCTAGTTGTATGGAATATCTCCTCTTAGTCTAAATAACCTAAGGTGTTTTGTCTTCCTCTACTACTCCTACGTACGGGTTTAGAAAAGGGTCTATGGTCAGATTCTCCAGCTGTTACCGCGTATGCTCTAGAGCACGGACGATAAAGTAACGCCAAGAGCAGAAATGAGAATGTTGAAGTCTGGTTGAAACTCGCAGAAAGATCGCTAAGGCCAACACTTCAAACTTAGGTGATTGTACCTTTTATTTGTAAAAATTCAACAAATAAAACAACGAACATCAAGACCGAACAAATAACATGCAAAAGATTTAGGATCAACAAAAGCATTAACACGAGCAAATGACTCGAGATTCTTCGTCGAACCGTGCTACGCGTAGACAATTAACAATGACAGCTATCATAACAAAGAATCAAGGGAGGCAAGTATATGTAGTATTAAATAAAAAGAGGTATGAACAAAATGGTGACATCGCCCTGGTCAGACACGAGGATATAACAGAACACGGCCGTATAAAACACCTTTGTTTTGGCGCGGAATAGATCAAATAGGTGCTGAGGCGGCGTCAAGACCGGCCTCAACATAGGACTATAATAAGCACTGCCAGAACAAATGCGACATACTTTTGTCAATATATATTAGCAATGACATCCAATTGAAAACATTGAAATTGTTACTGAATACTACTGCGAGCAAGCCGCGATACCTCGCGTCACCTATGGCTTACATAGTAAACCTCACCCAGCAACATGGTCTTTCAAAGATCCGACCGCAAACGCCAGGCCCATGTGAAAGATGTCTTTTGCTTCCGCGGACGTTCTACTTCCTCAAACCGTTCAGCCACAATCTAAATCTTTTATTACTATACCTGATAGTGTTGAACCATCTACTCGAAACTTTGCCAGCGCACAGAGCGTTATCTAAAGAGTTTGAAAGAAGGGATGAATGGACATGCAGTCGTTCAGCTCGCAACCGAAGAGGTCCCGCCACTATTGCATCAGCATGACCGGTAAGGCAACTCAGCGCTCCACGGCGCTGATTCGGGCTCCTCGCGTGGAACCGCGACAAATGGGATGAGTTGTTTTATCAAAGCACTTTAGAACAAAAAAAAAGAAGCACTTTTATTATCTGCCGGAATGCCACCGCATCGGTGGTTCGCAGGCTTTGCAGTAGTTCAAGGCGAAATAGCGCCTCTTCGAATGCGCTATGTAGAACACAGCGGCATTGGCTTCACTTAGTCACACGACGCGCAATTAGTGCAGCGTAGAATTCTCACTATGATAGCCGTGGTAATATACGATAGTGAGCATCTGATCATAAACATGCTTATACAGCAGATCGTGCTTATGACATAATTTACGGTACTTTGAGAGCAGACACTATACAACAAAGAAGGTGCCGGCAATGCTGCGGCTTATGGATCGCATTCATTATGGATCAGCGCTTCAGAATGGAACTAAAAATACAGTTCAGTTTATCACAGAGATCAGTTCAGTCTTCTTTTTCAGTAGGTGATTATTATTTCTGTTCAAAGTGCTGAAAGTTAAAGTTAACTTCAAGGTTTATCTAACAGTTCTTAGCTACAAACAATGTATTAATTCATGTTCTGGCAGTGCTTTATTTATTGGAATAATGAAATGTTAATTTCCTTTTTTAAGCGAAATAAAATCCAAAACGCGAAATTGAAAGATGATGAATATGCGATTGAAAACGAGAGGAGATTACGGATTACTTCTTTGAGCCTAATCCCGATAATGGTCATAGAACTGTAGGGGCCTGCTGAAAACTCACCAACCTTCACGATCAGGCAAGATTTGGGCAAGGGAACGAAAGCAGCCAGTTTGGGACGTCTTTGCAGACCGATGATCCTGGGACAACATGCAACAACACTGCGAAAGAACCAGCTGGCCGCGAAAGGCGGCTCAAACCGGCGGCTTTCGTTCCCCTACCCACAAGATTTGCCTAAACTCAAAGGTCGGCGAGTTTGCAGCCATTTCTCGCGCACTGAGCTTCCCAAGTTTTCTTCCTTGAAAGTGCGAGATTGTTTAACCGATTCGCGACCTTATGACGCGAATCTGCATGAGTAAAGGCCGCAAACTCCAACTGCTTAAGATCTGGCAAAGCGACATATGTTATTATTGAACCTTGATTCAAAAATAGTTTGCTGTATTTTCAGGGTATCCGAGTGCCGGTATCGAAGAATCGTTACCGTACAATAGACAGCTTGTTGGACGATCTTAATGCTAATATTGACATGCCGTTTGGTGTTCGGCGATTGACCACTCCCATGGGACGCACAGCTATCAATGATATCGACCAGTTGGAGCATCTTGGAAAGTAAGTTTAGAAAGTTTGTCTTCTAAAAACTGGTATAGTAAAAAGATTCAAAGTCCCGTAAAGCAGCGGACTACGTTAAAGACTTCAGTCATTGCCTGATTATAATCTCAACCTGCTTCTCCAAACAAAAGTCTGGATTTTATGCAAATCCTTTATGAATGGGATGGGATAAGCCAGGAGATATCTATCTTTCTCGACAGCTTCTATCACTGCGTCACAATGCTCTCAGAGACTCTGTCTGGTAGAATAAACGTACAGAAGACTTTCCGCCTATTTATCACCGTCCAAAGTAATTAGCTAGCTAAGTAGCTCATTTCCACGAGAATAATTGAGCAGTGTTTGTGTCATAGGGAAGTTACTGGGATTAATTATCGGGTCGTGCAAAGACCAACCATTTAATCGCGAACGCTCTGGGTCTTAGCATTGACCTTCGTTATGGACTATTTAATGTAAGTTCCAATCATTTTTCTACAAAAATTTTCATTCTCTTCAAAACTTTCCTTGTGCTTTTTCTTTATCTTCGATTAATCTTCTGTAAAAATGTTATGATGGCTGGTTTTAGATAATATTAGAATCTGTCAACATAATTTCCGCATTTGCTCTATGCATTAGGGGCAGTGTCCAGGCAACCAAAACTGGGTATAGTTTTTCTAACTGATAGGAAGGCTTCTGCAAACCTCAAACATAATTTGTATAATCATTAGTGGTCAAAAAATCCAACGTTAAACTCAAACCCGGATTGTACTTTCTAACGTATTCGCGGACGGTCTGATTGGTCTGTTTAGAGAGAGATGGTCTGGGCTGGAGTTTGAATTGAAACTTCCAACATGAATGAATCATACGAGCCGCCGCTTAAGCATTGACTTACATGAATTTCTCCGTTTCCACATACGAAACTTAGACATACCCGAACAATTACTGCAAAGCATTGGTATCGAAGAACAATAGCTTTTTATATCCCCCTGACTAATTTTTGGCATCCTGCTAGGACACTCTTTCCTTCCCACAGTTCATGCCCTCTTTCCCCTTGGTCTGCCTTCCATTTACATCTTTAAATCTTGTATTACGATTATTCTGTCAGACTCGTGATGCTGACAAAGCATGCATTACGCTTTAGAACTTTAAATCTTTTGTCGTTTGAAAAGTTCACATCTTGACACAATAAGCTCAAGCGGACCTAATACGTCTGAAAATCTTTTGACTATGACCATTGTTATATTTTTATTGGTCTACCAACATGAATGAAGACGTTAGTGCGTCTTGGTGTGACAGTACAATCATTCCTTTCACTTTATTTTCACTCTTCACCCATCTTTACCTCTACATTCAAGTTGTACCATTTATACTATACAATGCAGAGTCAGTCGTCCCAGACGTTCGAAGAACAAACATGAAATTCTCGTACTTCAGTAACGTATGAGCAAAAAACTCCCATACAGAGCAATGTACCATCGCGAACGAAAAAGATACAACCCATTGCTAGCAAATGCATAAGGCAGCATGTATGGGGTGTATGTCAAGAGGCGCGATTTTTATTGCCAGATGGACATCAATAAGCACATAATAAGTTTTTATCACTTTCAAACATTTTCAAATCTAGAATGAGATGTATTAGGTAGTTGTGTGGGGCTGCTTAATCTTAAAAACTTGGAATCAATTCAAAACAGCAGTCTTGAAGGTCAAAAATCCATAAATGTACTTGAGAACAAAATCGTAAACATTTCGGCCCTTTCTCCAGAAAAAACCACCAAACTCAGGAAGTGGTAACCTTAGACAGATAGTAGTCCAACGCACTTTATCTGGTACTTTTTGAAGACTCACGTGGCACAAAACTTGAGTTTTGAGTTGGTGGCAATCGAAAAAATCGCGCCTTTTGACTGTCTCCCGCATATATGTAACTTGGAATGATAGCAGTGGGGATGCTACATCTCATGGATAATGGAAGCGGTTTAAAGGGGCGTTGGCCGTAACTAAGTATCGATCAACTCAACTCATCATACCTTGAACAGACCTGACTTAAGTAGAAATAAACCATATTCAAAAACTGCTTCATTCTATAGAAATTAATCACATACAAATAGCGTTACAAATTGGTAATTTTGATCAGAACGTCCTGGGATAGACTGGTCGTAACTGTATAGGGCAAAGTCGTTCCACGATGCTTCAGAACTAAAGCTTAAGGAGAAAACCAGATTTGGTAGAAGCAATCCGTCTTTCACTGTCAGTAAGCGTCAAAAATTGCGCTGATACTGATCGTGATGGCTATAATTGTCACTATACAACTATAGAAACAATCTGTACAGTCGAGTTTGTAGACTTTTCCCTTTGATTATGTAAGGACTTTTCTTTTTGTAATATGGGGAAGAATGACTGGAAAAATCATGATTAATTTTGAGAGGATTTCAGTAATTTTTGCGATCTTGCAGTTATGCGATTTTGCCCATTCGGTCTATCGGATTCGGCTCATAGCTTTGATCATCCGTGGTTGAAGCTGTTCTCATCAGCCCTCAGGAGCTGAGGGGCCATCGTGATAAGTACAAAAACACAAACTGCGTATGGTACCTACGCTTGCGTAATGCTCATAAAGCCTGTCACTATATGAACTAGAATACAAGCTCACTTATCCCCAGTTACCTGCGGTTGAAAGTGTATACATTCCCAAAGCTGTGCTTTGTTGACAGGCGGTAGCACAAAGACATACGACTTTATGATGGAACACATTATACTGTCGATATCGCAGCTAACACAGCGAATCCTGCGGCTTACCACATCAACCACACAACACACTAAGGTGACCACCATTCATATTAGCAAATATGCAATTACTAGTAAAATGTGATAAGCGCTCTGATTACTAAGTGCCAGTTAGTTCAAACCTCTCAAGGCTGCTTCATCGACCTTGTCAGGCGAGGGCGTACCTAACACAATCAGTCCTTCTCAGCTTAGATCTTCACAATTCTTCTTCATGTCGATAACCCGCGGAGGCCCTCTTGGTCGATGGATGTCGTTTGGCGTCGATTGAACCTGACTGCTCATAAGTAGACACGTGTGCCAAAGCTGATATTGTGAAGGATTAGCGCTACTTAAACGCGGCAGTGAAGGACAGGGTAGAGCGAAGACTGTCGTTTTGGGACCCTCTGCGCAACGGCGACGGACTCCCTTGAAAAATCGAGCATTCCGCGAGTCGACCGATAAAGCGTAACCGATTATGACCTCTTCTTAAATGCAACTGAAGTATCTCCCCAATGCCAGGAACGTGGTGCTAATTCTTACTATTTTACCAATGCTTCTTTGAATCGTTAGGATTGATTGCTGCTGACACCTAGCATTTGTGGTACGCTTTACACTTGTAATAATCCTCGCACAATTTTCGATGTTAAACGATGAGATTGAATGATGGGTCATCTCATGCGATATTAGATAGTCAGCAGACTACATCAGTAATGATAACTTTCAAGTTTTCAAAGTTTTCACTATAGTTCGTCATTTCAGATACGTCGCCTCATCATCCAAATACAGTCGCGGGATCAATCTGTCCGCTTTGGAACGGCTGAAAAAGGCACGTGTACAAGCTCATCAAAGTCTACATCGAGAAAATCCCGGTGGCCAATCATTTTGGGTACGCTAAAGCGGAGGAGTGAAACAGTAGTGTAGCAAAAGCCTCGGTTATCATTAGATCATTAGAGCTCCTCATTTTTCTGGTGTTTTCGTATTTTGGTGGAAATCGTCTTCAGTTACTTCCAGCATGTTCGGTGCATTAAAGTTTTGTGCCAGTCTAATTTCAACTGAAAAATGATTGAGGTAAGGACAAAGCATTTTTTTTGCTCAAGTCAATCGTCAGAAACGCTGGCGTTGAGATAATATAATTACCGTAAAAAATTCAAAATTATACCTTTTGTGTGTTCCAGATAAGAATCAGATCCAGCTTCATTTTATACCAACGAGAAAAGTTTTTAACTTTTTAACTTTTAGGTCACCAAGGTGAAGCATATTCCAAAAATTACTATTTGAAAAATCAAAAAATGTCATAATGTCCAACGTGATCTGTCCAAAGTTTGTAATGGTCGTATGTCAACTCTGTCCAAAATGTGCATGCTCCCTTTTGTCAAAATTTTAGTTATTTTCCACTTTCAAAAAATCACCCTAAGCTTAGATTTTGTCTAGGTCCCGACATCCCCATCCTATAAACAAAAACTTAGAATGAGTCGAACTCTTGGCCTCAACGTCCTACCTTCGCGACAGGTGATTGATTGGACCTTCAAATTTGTAAATAGATGTATCTTTGTTTTTCAGGTGTTCTTCGTCCTGAACGGAAAAGGAAGATTTTATCGTACACTTTTAAATCCACTGCGACTGCCTAATATGGAAGCATTACTGCATGAAATTAGTGAGGGACTACAGGTGGGTATCAATCATCTTTATGGGACCAAAATAAATTTGAGACTATGTGCTTTTTAGGTAGCGATTTTCCGACTCTACAGCATGAATGGTGTAAGGGTTCTCAACGTCAGTGATATCTTGAACCTATCACCACCGAAAGTAATTGCTTGCCCAAGGAGTGAACGACCCTATCTGGGAACGACCATGCTACCGAGCATCGATGCACACACCAATAAAACTAGTAAATCAAGTAAATCAAGTTAGTAAAAAGTGTAGAAATCATCTTAAATGACGCCTAATTTACACTTAAGCTCTTTCACAAAAAAATCTGAAAGCAAATGATTATTTTTGTGGATTTGTACGAAGCCTCGCAATGATAATCGAAGGATATTTTGTGTCAAAAGCCTGTTTTTATTCTCGGATGTTTAAAAAATTTTGCATAAGTACATAGTACTTTCCAAAAAACTTGCTTTGTTTCATGGAACAAAATTCTAACGAAAAACCCGGAAATTTCTACGCTGCAGCAGCGCCTTTGATTTGAGAAAAAAATTTTTCTTCAACTTTATTATTTATGAAAATTCAGCATCCGATACTTCGTACACGACAAGCAGCTCAACTGAGAATGGAATTGAGAAGAAATCATTTTCCAGTGCACTCAAAAGAAACACGAGAAGGACAACAGGAGCTAGGAAAAAGCTGACCAAACATTTACCAGGTGAGCAGATTAGGTTATTTTATCAAAAGTAAATGCTAATGGACCCACAAGGTTCCGTCAACCACGCTTCTTTTTACCATAATCTTCCGATGGTCAGGAAGTGTTTTTAGTGTTTTAGGTAAATCATAAAAATAATTTCTGCAGCTGATTGATTGAAATAATTTTCGAAAACATTTAAGATTTTTAACTAGCTTCAATGAACCGTTTTTAGGTTAACAGCCACGCCCCTTTTTCAAATTCAAAGTTTAAAACTTGAGAAAAATTTCACTAAAAAAATGCGGGGGGAGGGTGGAATGGATTAGCCGCGTTTCTACAATCTTCAAAATTTTTGTCGCCCTTGCTTTCTTCCGAAAGGAATTTTTTTGAACCGGCGCTTTTTTGATGTACATATTGGTTAAGTATAATGAGATGGCGCAAAATGCTTTGAAATTCCACATATTTCCGTCGAATTTTCATGTTTCAGCCATTTCCAAGGAAATACCAAAGGCGATACCCCTGAAACGAGCTGATGACAGCGACTCCGGCAAAGCGAACTCGATCAGCAGTAGGTTAACAGACACCCCGAAATTGGACGAAGAATCTGAGTTCAAGTTCAATGCAGAGTTGGAGAAAACGCTCAGAGAAGCGGAAAAGCTGCTTATTGAAGAAGATGATGAAAGCGCAGAAGCCGCACAAGCAGTTGACAGCGGTAGAGCTAATAGTGAAACTTCGAGAAGCCTCGAGCAAGAGGAGGAGCGTCCTTCATCCTCGCAAATCGTGAATTTAATACACTCGGGAAGGAGCACAATGTCTGAGGCGGAGAGGAAAGCGGAAATGATAAGAAAAGAGAGGTTAGGGGAGACTGACGAGGAAGATTTTATAAGAGACGATGACAGCGATCCCGTAGCTGGAGCAGGTTCTGACAAGGAGGAGATACTGGCTTCTGATGCGGAAGACGTTGGGCAGATTGTGGCGGAACGTATGGTTCACACCTCAGATTCTCAAAAAGAGGAGATTCTGCCATCGGAGGATGAAGCTGAGCCCAATAAAATCGTAATCAGACCACCAACTGCTCGTTCTGTAATTTCACAAGCATCGAATCGTGAAGTTCTCAAGACTCCTCGCGACCGCCCAACAACATCAGCTGACAGTAATCGTGAAGAAATTCTTCCTTCCGACAACGAAGAGGAAGCTCCCAAACGTTCAGAAGAATTAGTAGAATCTCCTGAAGAGGAAAAGTTAGAAGCTAACTTAGATGATCAGCCACTGCCAGCAAATGATGGTAATGATGAAGACGAAATCAAAAAACAGCACGAAGCTGCCACGAAAATCCAAGCAGCTTTTAGAGGATATAGGACTCGAAAACAGTTGGCAGGTAAGTCTTGAATAATTTCTCTTGAGCCACTCAACTGTGTTTTGCAGTTCGGTTCCTTGAGAGTCAGCCAGAAATTATTCCAAGCATTCCAGAAGAAACAACTGCCGATGCACCATTGGAACCAGTCCCAGAAGAGGAAGCAAAAGAAGGTGCAGAATCGTTTATTATTTCTACATAAAGTCTAGTTTCTACTCATTTCCCGGTTGGACGAATGAAATTTTGCCTGATATTTTTTATTTAAAAATTTTTTGCAGAAATCGCTGCCAAGAATTTTTATATGAATTTTTTTTTGCAGAAATCGCTGCCGAGACAGTATCGTTAGGAGAACGACAGGCTACACCAGGACCAGGAAGAGAGAAAAGTGGGTATTCCAGATTTTTTTTGCATTTTTTTTTATATAAGCGGAATTAAAGCAAGCAGTTGACGAATTCTGGCTATTTCATCTGTAAATGAGAAGAAAAATCTTTTTATCTAACAAATAATTTTTATGCGCTTATCAAAACGGGAACAAAACTTGGATATTGTCTCATATAGCAGCAAACTTGTATTTTGAAAAGTTTCAGCTTCTCGGGAGGTTATCAAAAAAGATAATTATAGTATCGTATCTTAGAGAATTTTCCACACATCAAATCATTGACTTGTGCTAGGTAGAGGAGCAGTATTTGTTGCCAGTAGGTCTCGCCTTTCGCCGACATCTGCTACAATTTGCTGCTACGTATTACGGGTGCGTGTTTGTTGCAGATGCGCGCGGGACCACGCCTTTTGGCGACAAACAGTTCTCTACTCATTTGTGCTCGACTGGTTCTTTGAATTAAGTGATTTCACCAAAAATCACTATTTTGAGGAACAAGTCCAGTTGTTTCCACACACTATATTCTTCCAGAAATGACCTACACTATCTCGATAACCACTGGGAATCGCTGGGGAGCCGAAACGGAAGCAGATCTCTACGTGCAGCTATTTGGAGATGAATTAACAAGCCGAAAGTTTTATCTGAAGCAAGAGGTAAATACATATTTTCTGTACAGCAGTAGTAGCTGCTAGCTGTGTAGTGTCGATAGTGATAGCCAGAACGCTTCTGTAGTCGGCAAATTGCTGTCTAGGATAATTGGTTGCAGAATGGTAAGACTCGCTTTCGGCAGCGTCATATGGATTCGTTCCATGTGGAGACCGAAGATCTTGGTACTATCAATCAGATTATTATAGGACATGAAGAAGAGGGATACGGTAGGCGACGTTCTGTTTTCAAATCAAAAATAAATATTTGGAAGATTTGCTTGTTTAGTGAAAAGCTTTGTGGATTCTTACATTATCGTTAATAAGGCTGCGTCCAGAGTTCCCGTGCCCGCTCCGTTCCAGCCTCGTGCGCGAACGTTGATCGGTAAATGCAAGGTGTGTCCAAATGGATTTTCAAAGCCCCGCTACTGTGGCGCTATTATGGCACGGTGCTGGAGTGGAGCTGGAACGGGATTGGCACAGCGTCGTCAGAGGCCAACAAGACTGGACGCTGCCTTCAAGAAGTAGAACATAGAACATAACCTCTGTTTAATATTAACGATGATTTTGGCAAACTTCGTCTTTTTTCTATACATTGACGTCTCTAACTACTTTTTGATTTTTCGTCAATTTCAGGAGCTGGAATTTTCATCGATTATGTGCTGATCACCGAAAACGTAATAGAAGGCCGTCAATTCGTTTGCTATTGCTCAAAATGGTTTGATAGCGGACAAGTGAGTCTGCACCAATATTTTGATACCCACAATATGCTACCGTAACGGGGGGTGACGAGAGTTGGGCTGGAAAGTGCCACTCATTCAAGTATGCCTCTGTTTGCGATGCTTGCAAAAGAAAATTTGTTTGTCTCTACACAGTCGACAGAAATTTTCCCAAATTACAGTATCGTGGATTACGGTATCCTGTTCTAAGGATACAAAGTCTGTATTACAGTTATCTTTTCTGCAATCTATACCGATTTAGGTTGATGGAAAGATCGAAAGAACATTGCCCGTCGCTGCGTTCTACTACCTTAGCAGTGTGCCAGAAGAAAACGTAACATCACGTAAGTTGCTCCTCTGATTACTCCTCCAATTTAATACAAAACATATGTATTGATTCAGAGGGACGCTGGGAATTCATTTTGCACAACGGAATGGAAGATGGAAAAGGTGGAACAACGTCTAATCTCGTAATTATTGGTTACGGTACAACCGGCAGCTCTATGATGAACATTACCAATGATAAAACCATGCGTGATGTACCTGATACCACACTCATACAGGTATGCAGACAGCGGGTTGAAATTATGACGTAACGGCATACAACTAATGTTTCAGGTTGACTTTGGCGCAATTGGTGATCTGTTGAAAGTCCGATTCGAAGCGGATGGAGCTGGAGATAGACCAGATTATTATTTGGAATGGGTAGAGCTGAGAGATTTGGACACAGATGAAAGGATAGCCGTTAGGTAGTCCTTTTCTAGAAATTGGTTCCTTATTTATCCGCCAGTTACAGAGTTGCCAAATGGTTGGATGTTACTGGGAAACATACGAAAAAACCACAAGCATTCCGTGAGATTAGCGTTTTCCGTTCGGGAGACCAGCCTTTGGAACGTATGTGTTCTTGAGATTATAAACATAGAAAGATTACGTTATTTTTGGTCTTTTTCAGTCCAAAACTACGAGGGAAAAGTAGCTGGTGGTGACATGCGGTTACTCAAAGACAACTCGCTACAAGCACAGCTTATCGGAGAATTCAGTGATAGTGGAGTGTTTCCATTGATATATAATTCTAAAAAGAAGGTATGTAGATTAAACTTTTACGTACACTGGAAACACGTATTTCCCAATTCTCAAATGGAGATACGTTTTTTTACGAAAGAACCGGCTTTTTAACAGTATTGAAACTTCTTCCAGCTTTTGCCCAAAGAATCCACTGTCTTTTCCACGAACCACATGTAAGACCATGACTTTACTAGAACGTTCTTATTTCAGGACTACTCCTTCAAAGTTGAATGCGTCCACTTAGGAAGAATCAACTGTATCAAAATCATCGGAAATTTCACGGAGCAAGGTAAGCAATAGGGCCAATTTTATTCCTTTATAAGTTGAAGATTTCAAAAAAAGCTATTATTCGCTTGAGTTTCTTCTTCCTCACAAATCGAAATTAGGCAAAAAAGCGATTATTGTGACTTTAAGGAGACCACAAATTTTGAAAATAGTTTAGATTAATGCCTAGAAGCAGTATTTTCTGAGTTCACTTTATCAAAATTATAGTAGTCGTTCGCCTAAATGAATATCTGAGACGCGTTTTCTTTACAATTATATTTCACTAATTCTTTTGAGCTAAACCTTTTTCTTGTTACAAAATTTACGCGGCCACCTTGAAAAAAAATTCAGGTTTCTTAAATTTTACTTTTAGTCAAAATCAATTATTTTCAAAAGTTGAACATTCCTCTTCAGGAGAAGCAGTTATGGAAGGTTTCTCGGTACTTCAAGACATTTGGGATAAACACGTAGGAAGTGTAGAAGTAGCTTCGAGTGTAAGTTTATACTCAATACTTAACATTCAAAGAAAAAACTAATCGATTTTTCTAGATCATGGCTGTGTCAGCTCATGTTCGGGAGTCTACTCATTGCCCATATCGATATGTTCTTCGAGAAAGTAAAATTCGAGAACTTGAGGAGGAAAAACCTTACTTCAAAGTGCTCACATTCACTGGTAAGTTGGGACGGCCCATACTTATCGATTTATTGATCCTCCCTAAGCCTCTATTATAGACATGGAAGGACTAACGACGCGCAATAAAAAACACAAGTTCACATCAGAAAATGACGACTGGGTGTTGCAGATGTCTATTGAGGTGTGCACATGAAAATCGATAATCGACCACTGGCTGATCCAATGTTGGTTTCAGGGCCCAAGCAGGATAACACCAGAAGTGTCGCTTTGTTCTGGACATCTATCACATACCATGGAATATCAGCCAGATAGTTCTACTGACGTGGTTTATACTTATGGGGTAAGAAACAACAATTTTTTATCAGATAAATATAATAAATATTTTCAAGATGAATGGCCCAACAATTGGACCTCTTCATAAGGTCCGAGTTGGAGTAGGCGAAATGGAACGAGCAGAGCATGTTTATATCAAAAAGGTGAGGAATGAAGATTTGATGATTTGCGGAACTCAACTGAAGATTCTGCATTTGCGGACATAACTTAGCAGTTTGCCAAAAATGGTTTTTTCTAGATGAGACTAGAAAACCAAGTCACCAAGACAATTCTGCGGTTTCCGAGTGTTGATACGGAATTCGAAAGTCATCAGGCATTCGAATTTTCTCCGGTATATCCGGATATACAACCTACGCTGAGTAAGTTTTAGAAATTCCATAAGCAAGCGTAGGAAAAATCAAAACTTTTACGGAAGGGTTGCTGCTCAAGTATCGAGAGGGCGAATCACATGCGCGTACCTTACTGGTCATTCGAACACGGTGACCAATGGCGGTAAAGCACACGGTACCCTGCGCCTATTCTAACTTCTTGTGTACTAGTCGACAAATTCGTGAAGTTGAGTGCTGTAAAAGAATATCAGGAGAATTCTCGCCCTTAGCTTGAAGAAATTAGTTGCTAGGAATTTCCGCTATTCCTTTTCTGCAATAAAATTTTGAAGAATTTGAGAAACACGAGAAACAAACAAATTATTTCAAACACTTTTTACTTCATCTCTAATTCATAAAAAATTCAAGCCTGCTGTGTACCCTGTGCAAGAAAATCGAAATTTAGACATTCTCTACACCATAACCATGAAAACGGTAGCAAGTACCGGAGCATTCCAACCTCTATTCAATCTCATCGGTGACGACGGTGAGAGCGGACTGCGAAAATTTGTTGATGATTCGAAATTCGATGAAGAGGCGGTAAGCGCAATAATTTTGGTTAGGAGACTACATGTTGCCGAAAGTGGAAGGTCCCGCCGAACATCTGCAACAAATACGTATTTCGATACATGCACAGGCTGAGCATCTGCTGCATCGTCCGAGCGGGACCCTCCCACTTTCAACGACATAAATTCCTCTGCCCAATAATGTTCAATGTCAAAATGATCCCCAAGTAACAATTTTTTGCAGCGCCATGAATTTGACGTCGATGCCGTGAATCTTGGTTCATTACGCGAACTCGAAGTCAAGATTGATGGAGATGAGGTATGGAGAATGAAAAAAAAGTTGACATTCATCTAAACTTAATTTTTTTAGAAGTCATCTTGGTTGGTGGATATCGAAGTTGGACTGGTCGATAGTGGCACTCGATATGTTGCAGGACAAGCGTAAGAACTTTTGAAATTGAAAATGTTTTTCCAGAAAAAATAGGAATTCGTGCAGGAACATACCCGCTTTTGGACAAATCGTGCGACTACCATTGCAACAGTCATAGGCCCCAAAATTTAGTACAATAGGACCGCGTGCTCAACACAACTTGTACAATTCGTGTATTTGGCTTGAAGCTCAAAATAGATTGATTCAGATGCATATATTATTTATTTATTGTTAGAAGAAGGCAGATATCTAATAAAGTTATTTTTCAAGCTCTTTAGCAGATAAGAGAAGGAGTGACAATTACGATCTTTTCTACCTCGCATAAGTGTTTGTAACATGCACAGATATTTTTAAGGAGCAAAAATTCTTGTTCTGCTTAGATTTGTAAAACTGAAGGTGTCTAAAAAAAAGTTGGAGATCCTCGCCTGGGTCGTCAAAAATCACAGAAAAGGGAGCCTAGATATGATCTACAGAAATGCAAAAAATAAGAATAATTCCTTCCACAGAAATACCCACTGTCTTTCTCAAATCGTCATTATGAAATTCTGCAGTTATGGAGTCAGTTTAACTGGTTATAAAGCAATATTAATGTGTGACAAAGCATGCCAATATTCATCAAAAATCATCAGTCTATAAAGTCAACAATCATCTTCTACTCTACAAACTTATGCACCTCTGTACAAATAGTCCTAGAGGAGATTTTCACTATTAAATATTTTATTTTCCTACACAAAACTGACTGAACAGTTTGTCCAAAATCTCCTCGCTAACGGTCGAACCAGCCATCTGTCTAAAAATATCCAGAGCCCGTTCACGGTGGTCACATAACAATGCGGCATCGTGGACAGCTGCAGCATTCTCCAGTTCCTCCCGAGCTTCGCTAAAAGATCAGGAAGTAATTATATTTCAAAAGTACGTATCTAGTGCGCTCTATTCAAGGATATATTCAAGATCGAATAAATTTTAGAATTATCAAAATGCGATTGAATTCTAGTCAAATGAAAGCTGAACGTAGCTAAATATCAAACTGATCAAATTGGTTTTTGTGTTTCAATCTTTACGACATCAAATTCGCACTACAAATGAAGCATCTTGAGTATTTGCAGTAAGAAAATAGTTTCAGCGGAACACTACATAGATTCACAAAGTACTGCTTCAGGAATTGAGATCATTTAATTTTGCAGCGCAGAATATATTTTAAAATATCACCTCAAAAGCTCTGTGTCAGTCAGACAAGGTCCACCGTCATCTGGGCACAAATTCTCCACGACTTGTTTCAACGAATCCATAAGAGGACGAACACCTGGTAGAATTGCATTGTTCCCTGGTAGTTTCCATAAAGTACAAAACTCATAAGCTTTACCTTTCGTGCTAAGCGCACATGTGCTCACTGAATCTACAATATCCAGTCGTGAATTTGGCTTTAACACTGAAGAACCAGCAGTTCCTGCAAGATTAGCCTTGTTCCTGACTAGTATTACTGGCAGCGAAGAGTCTGTTGAAGCCTGAATTCCAGGTCCTCACATCAGAGAAATCTAGATTTGTACTTACATACCTCGAACTCCTCGAAAACAGACCTTGTTTCCTTGTCAGCTTTTCTGGCATCGACAGCAGCTATCGCGACATCTGCTTCATATTAGGGTGATCGGTAAAAAATGGGGCAGCTTGATTTTTATTACATTTTGAGGTTTTCTGTCCTCACCAACAACTAGCAGGCTGCAACTCAAACGTCGCTTACATAACCGACCTTCGCCTATTATTCTGGCAACGCGTTACCGCCCCTCTCTCATAACCGTGCACGTGGCGCCGTGAAGAACTCAGACAGGGTTTTTGGAACAATTCTCAATCTTGCGCTGCTATACCGTAAAGTCATTTTTGTGGCGTGTTTGGGCTTTTTTTCAGAATACCAAAAGTTGCGAAAAAGTAATTCTCTTTATTTGCTTGTAACTTTTGATCTTTTTCGTTTTAATTGGTGGGAAAGGCACTGTAGTAATGAGCATAATTTTCTCTATCAAAAAATAGCACTACCGGAATTTTTTGTGATCCTGCTCAAAAAATGCCAATATTGAGTAAATTTATTCAATTGCTTCTAATTCTCAAGATTTCTCACGCCATCTCATGGCAAAAATAAGTTGTAAAGAGAAAGGATTTCTCTTTCAAACAAAAATCAATTTAAGGAATTTCACCGAAAAGGAAGGAAGTTATGATTTTTTGAATAATCTAGCGAACAAACTTTATGACCCACCTCCAATAATATGTCGTACCGAAAGTTCTTGCGCACGGTTTTCAAAAAATCATAACTTCTTGAATTCTCAACGAATTTACAAGATCTAAATTTTGTATAAGGGAGAAACTCATGCTCTTTGCAAATATACTTGAACTGTTCGTTTGTATGCAAAAGAAAAAGAAGGAGATAGAAGCTCAAAACCAAAATTACTAAAAAATTGAATTTTTCGTGTAGGGTCATAAAAAAATCGGAAACTTGCAATAAAAATGGGGCAGTCAGCATTGTAGGCTCTTTCACAAGCTCTTTCCAACAGTGCAAAGTTTGTGCCGATTGAGCGTCTCTGTGAAAAGTTATAAATTTTCTAAAACATCCTAAAATAAGTCAAATTCGCCCTTTTATATTGCTTGCTCGAAAATCATAACTTTTCATAGAGACACTCAATCGACGCAAACTTTGCACTGTTGGAAAGAGCTGGTAAGAAGACCTACAATACCGACTGCTCCGATTTTTGTTGCAAGTTTCCGATTTTTTATTTTTTTTCCTACACGAAAAATTCAAATTTTGAGTGAATTTGGTTTTGAGCTTCTACCTCCTTCGTTTGTAAACAGTAACGAACAGTTCAGGTACGTATGCAAAGAGCATGAGTTTCTCTCTTATACAAAATTTAAAACTTGTAGATTCGTTGAGAATTCAACAAGTTATGAATTTTTGAAAACTGTTCGCAAGAACTTTCGGTGAGACCTAATACAGGGTGTCCCAAAAAATGTGAACACTGTTTGATCGTTAATAACTCCGTTGCTTTCATGTCTTTCGCCGAGCTTGAGACAACTTTCTGTAGAGCGAGGCTAAACTTAGATTTGTAGTATAGAGCGAATCGCCGATCGCTGTTCGTTACTGTAGGATTACGGTGTGAACTTCTAGCATGTGGATCTATTGTGAAATATGCCATTTGACAAAATTTTTTCAAAAAATTTGAAAAATCGTGTACTGAGGTTTTCGCCCACGCTGATTCCATTACACAACTTTTTACGAGTGTTTTTAGCTTTTTTGACGGCGTAGTCACATTTCTGACAAATGCTGGAAATTCATTATTGCAGTTTAGCTTGGATAACCTCGGAAAGAAGCATCAGTGAAGTGGAAATTTCATATTTGAATTTCGCGGCTTCCATTACCATAGTACAAAGGTTTTTGGCTTGTTTGGTTTTGTTACGAGGAGACTAGAGCCTCCAATGGCCTAAATCCTTGTCGAAGTTTCTACCGTAATCCTACAGTAACGAACAGCGATCGACGTTTCGCTCTATACTGCAGTTCTAAGATGAACCTCGCTCTATAGCATGATGCCTCAAGCTCGGCGAAAGACATGAAAGCAAGGGAGTTATTAATGATCAAACAGTGTTCACATTTTTTTGGGACACCCAGTATATCTTCTAGGCAGAAATTTGAAAAAGTCGTCACACATTAAAATTAGTGCTAAAAAGAGGAACAAGACAAAGATACAAAGGACATGCCACTTTCGTTCAATGATTTTTTTTGTTTGTTTTTTCTTTCCTCCCATTTGTGACATCCAAGTCCTTCAACATTTACTGGTGAAGATACTGCTGAACTTCACGTCCATGGCAATCGAGCTGTAGCGGATGCATTGTCAGAACGTTTGGCTGGTTTCGAAGGAGTACGACAAGCCACTAGAGGAGAGTTCACCAAAAGGTGCCAAGCAATATGGTGCTGCGTAGCTCATTTGCAATTTTTTTATTTTTAGGGCATTTTTCAATGGAAAAATGGACTTTCACGAAGCTCACGGGCTGAAAAATCTCATTTATGCCGAAACACAACGGCAAAGACAAATGTCATACGGTCAAAGGAGGGGAGGAGCCGAAGCTCGGCGGATACGGTAATTCTTGCAGGTTTTGTATATCGCTTAGAGCTAATCAGCCGTGACAAGCTATTGCATCCAGAATTTCCGCATAATTGTAAACTGAATTCAAACAACTTGTGGCAGTTCAAAAAGTCGACAAAAAAGCCGGGAAAAGTTTTTGTGTCATTCCTATTTGTTTGCTTTCAAATCTGGACATTTCTATGATAATTAGGAATTTTATAATGCTTGCAGTGACCTGCTACAAGATGCAGTTATGAGAGCTTTTATGTTGATGGATTTTGGGGAGCATGTGTTTGTAAGCATAGAAGATATAACCTTTGGTTCACTGGCCTGGCACCATTAGGGCGGGGTTTTGTGATCTAATTGAGGCCGCTCGCGTCCGCGACGCACCTGCGTCTCTCTCGCGCAAGTGCTCTCTGATCATTACCTAGCCTTGATTAGGTCACGAAGCCCCGCCTTTGCCGATGCCAAGCCAGTTGAATCAAATGGTACAGTAGTTTAGCCTTTCGCTGATGGCTAACATACTTCTTGTTGTTTCTTCTGGAATTCTTGGCAAACAATTGTACCGCTGAATTTTTCTAGAGAGCTTATCAAGCCAATCCTTGAGGAGGTTATTCGCCTTGAAAGTCGAGCAAAAGGTGCAGAAATTGTACACAGAGGTTTACGGGTAGTCATACTTGGTTGACCAAATACAGGAAAAAGCAGTCTGATGAACGCTTTAGGTACGAGTTTTGAGTGCAGTCAAGTGCATTTTGCAGATGATTGAAATATATGCGTAATCTATTTCTCCCCAAAAGTAGCATGGCAAAAATCTGCCAACTTTCATAAGAAAGTAAAGAAGAGTTGAGCGAAAATTATCCGACATTCTCATCACATAAAAAAGGGAATAACCACAGTTTGAATTTTTTTCAAAGAAATCTTTAGTTTTTTTTCAGCTCGAAGAGATGTGGCTATTGTATCGGAGCGAGCTGGAACGACTCGAGATAGCATAGAGGTAGCTGTCCCTCTCATTTGATCTCAAGTTCTGTCAGTCTAAAAATTTGGCAGTAATTATTGAGGTCCGTTTGAATATTGCGGGAGTACCGGCATCGCTGACAGACACTGCCGGCATCCGTGAGACGTTAGATTCTATAGAAAAGGAAGGATTTGAAAGAGCAAAACGAAAGTGAGGTTTTTCCTTTCCACGGCTACCCTAATGAAAATTCTCAAGAATCCTTGAAGCGGACATTTTCATAGTTGTTATTGATGCCAAAGATACCGAAGAGGAACCAAAGTCTATAATGAAAGAGCTAAAGGTGGCTTCACAAATTCGAACTTTTCTTATCAGATTATAATTTGTTTAGAATTAACAGATACTCACGTGCCGTTAATAATAGTTAGAAACAAAGCTGATCTTGCAAAGAGTACGAGTTTTTCGGAGACAAAGCTAAATTCACATCTAGACATAGTAGATTCCGTAAGCACCTGCGCTCTTAACAACAGGTAGCGATTTTTTTTGATTTTTCTTTTCTTTATTGTATTGGAAATACTAGTGTTTTTATAGGTGTCCGTCCCCTCATGGATTCCCTGAAACAACTCGTGGAGAATTTGTGTCCAGGTGATAGTGGACCTTGCTTGACTGACACTCAGTTACTGAGGTGAAAGAGTTATATGCCGAAAATTTTTAAGAATTGGCAGAATGTGATCAAATTCGGAGAAACGCAAAGTTGGGATCTCCTAGTTTTTTTTTTGACATTCTTGAGACTAAAGTTACATACTGCAACACAATAACTTAGTATCAAAGCATAAAAAAAAAAACAATTTGGTATCGTGGAAGTTTCAAGTTCTGCTTTTAAAAGACTCGATCACATCCTGATGATTCCAAAAACTTTTTCTAACCTTTTGAGTACATCTGAGTACCAATACTTCTATAAAGCTCACGAACGTGATTTTAAAGATAATCACAACTTTATAATTAAGCGAAGCTCGGGAGGAACTGGAAAATGCTGCATCTATCCACGACGCTGCTTTGCTATGTGATCACCTAGAACGGGCTCCAGATATTTTTGGGCAAATGGCTGGTTCGACGGTCAGCGAGGAAATTTTAGACAAAATGTTTAGTCAGTTTTGTGTAGGAAAGTGAAAATTTTCTTTAGGACTATTTGTACAGAGTTGCATAATTTTGTAGAGTAGAAGATGATTGTTGACTTTATAAACTGATGATATTTGATAAATATTGGCATGCTTTGTCCATATTGATGCCGCTTTATGTCCAATTGAAGCAATATATATCTGAAAATTTACGTAATGACAAAATTTTGAGAAAGACAGCGGGTGTCGATGTAGGAGGAATTATTCTTTTTTCGCACTACTGTATACAGGAATAAAGTTGACTGAAAAACTAGTTTTTGTTTTTGATATGGTTTCCGTCCCGCTTTATCGTGAATATCTAAGACAGCGTCGGGTTTCGCGTTTTTTTTCTGCCCAAATTACTTTAATTAGCTAGTTTCATATCAGATGGACGACCAGCCGTCAACTTCGCCCTCTACCGTTCATTCTTGGGCAAAACGATTGGCTGAGCTGAAAGCTTGCCCATGGTGAAATTTATGTATGGCTTTCTCTTCCGTTCTATATCCATATCCACAAGGGCTCTTTCTTAACTTGTTCAGCATACTTTTTTGATGACCTGAGGATTAGCAAGTAATGAGAAGTATGTGAGACATGCGTTGAATTTGGCGCTCCAAGTGATCCAAGAACAAAACCGCGCTACTTGATGCTAACTATCATCATGACGTAGAAATAACGTTCGAAGCAGCAATTATTTTCGTAGGAGTGTCAAATCTTGTCTAAAATACAAACTTTGAGACTCCTCCAGAACTAAATCTCAAACCTTCTAGGAAAACGTGAAGCTTACGAAAAAAGTAGTGAAGTATATTTATCAAAACATGACGGAACAGCAAAAAAAACTAAACATGCTTGTAAACTAGAACTTCAGAGAAGGAAATGATCATCCTCAAATAGCAGCATTAAATAGCTGGTTGCGAAATACCGAGGGCATCATTTGCGGAACTATACAGCTGATTGCGATTATATTTTAAACAAATCTCGTATAACATCTCGCCGGACTAAGAAAAGTTGAATGTTGTATAGCAGTGGTAGATGGCAGCGGTCCTAGGATTTCCGTTCGTGGGGAGGATAGAGGTGGGGGTGGGGGGGGGGGGATTTGAATGAAGGTGCATGGCGTCAAGCACTCTGAAAATTCTGAGGCGTTTCCCAAACTTCTTGCAGCCCATAACCTCGCAGTTTTATAAAGGACATGGCGTGAGCCATGCGCCTGTAAGGAATTCTCTCATGATTCCGATTTGGAATTTTGAAGAATTTCAGAAATTGTTTCGATCGCAAGTATAAATTAGTCATTGCCTAAAGCTGTCAAAGCCAACGAATCGGCAGAATCATAACCTTGGGATATTCATCCTTATCGGCTCCTCTGTATGAGCTAAGTCAAGACTGTGCTTTGCAGTTTGCGCTTTGCAGCTTGTGCTTTGCAGCCTAGGAGATATCAGTAACCCACTTTTGCAGACGTGATAGATGCTGTTTGGGCGGGTCGCGAAAGTGGCTGTCGGAGCTAGTCCAATAGCGGCTGAGATGGGTACGGTGTCTCCACTCACGATCCAATCGCGTTCTAGAGGGCGGGCGTAGCCGTCCGCCCAAATAGCACTCTCCACTTGTGGAAAAGCAGGTCATTGATATTTTCTGAAGCTGCAAAGCACAGTTTTAGACTTAGCTCGTCCAGGGGAGGCGAGGACGATGATTATCTCACAAGGGAACAAAACTTGGTGTCCATGGCTTTCTGAGATGAGATAATATCGTTACACTTGTCTTGGAACGCTGATTTCAAATCTGACTTCCGTTCCTGCTAATCGTTTCCCTAAAAGAAATCATGAAGGATTTTCGGTCAATGATCGCCTAGGAGAAATACGGTCGAAGATGCCTAATCTTCAAATAGAACCTTAATTGACGCGATGCAAAACTGAAAAACACATAAAGACTCAAACCTAACCCAACATCAATTGTGAGGCTATCACACTAGTCACTACACCACATCGTAGCTGCGGATTTGGAATTCCGACTATGTTTTCCGTGGCGCGAAAATCCTTCATAACTTTTTTTCCGAGGAACGATTAGCAAAAACGAAGGTCAGATTCGCAATCAGCGTTCCAAGACGAGTGTAATGGTATACATCTTATTCAAAAAGGCCACGGACACCAAGTATCGTTCCGTTGTCAGAGTTGTCAATCGCCAAGCCGCTGCCTAACGGCGCACGATCAAACTAATTTTGAAGAAACTGAATTTTTTTTGATATGTACCATTATTAGGTATCATTAATGCAGATTTCATTGATAATTTCAGACTGGGTGGCTTAAATCGAAGAGATGCTAAAAAAAACTCTTCTTATTATGTGAAGATGGATCATTTCTGGTCAGAGATAGCCGTAGTGAAAATCATTTATTCACTTTCAGCAACCAATATGAAAGTGGGTTCTCTCTTTCATTTATCCGGTAATTCTGCGCAATATTTTTATACCCTGTGATATATCTAACCACTTCAGATAAAACATTACATTCGCGAGTGGAGCTTAGCGGTCAATACGCTCTTCAAGGAGGTCCGTCGTCTCTGCTAGACTGAGAAACTATGGTAGATCTGCTCAAGCATGCGATTCAGGTATGTTTCATTCCTTTGTCTCTAATTTCCTATTTTCAGAGCAGTCAGTTTGATGTTTTTTCTTTCAGATTTGGTTTTCGAGAGAACGTGACATCTTCATACATCGACGTGGTGCAGAAGCTGAAGCCTCTAGTATCCATTTGCGGTATCCGCTATCGCGCATACAACTTCTTCCGCGGTTGCAGTACTTGAGTCGACTGAAGATTAGACTATTGTCGCGAGCAGACGAACTGCCTACGTTGCAACTGCCTCCACCTCTACTAGCTTATGTGTTAGATCCAAAATTCTTGATTCCAAATATTCGAGAGCGCCTTCAAGTGCTAGAAGACCGGAAAGAAAAGCTCGGGTTGACACAACAAGCGATGGCGATGTAAAGCATTAGATTTTCTTGCTATCTTTCTCTGTGGTATCATTTCAAGTCTTTTAAGTATTTTCATATTAGTGTCCATATTCAATTAAAGATATTGCTAACTAACTTTTGTTCAAGTTCTTGCATGAATAAATAATTTCCAATGATGAGGTTTTGAATGCCTACATATGGGTTATTCCAACATCATCTTATTGAATCCAAGTCGAGCGGAATACATGTAACCCGTTGTTTCTCATGATTTCGATGATAACACTCTCGTGTAATTTGTAGTCTGCTTTCGCAAGTTCCATGGCCTTCTTATCTGCTCTACCGCGTGCTTGAATCTGAGACCACTTGTGTATACACTCTTATTTGGTCCTCATAACTCTGTTGTTTTCGAAAGTGCTTTCCAGCTATCAAGTAGTTAGTCTGACAGTTTTCACATTTCAAAGGGTACTTGTTTGTGCGTATCTCCTTTTCTTGAAACATTTCTTTTGGATATGCTTAGGTCACATTTGCACATAAATCTTTATATCGCATCATATCTCTTGTACTATATGTGCTGCATCGAATTTGATCTTTGCAAATATATTATACTGGTTGACTTTCCCGGTCCATCCCGGGCCACTGTTCACCTGCACTGCGAGCCCCCCCCCCCTTATACGTTATAGCTGGCACACCCGATCTCACACGGAACTGGGTAGCCAAACCGTCAAGAGGTATACACTCAAATGAGTCAAATGGCAGGCTTACCTCTCCGCTGTCATGCGCTTCATCTCCACCCGATCACCTCGCTTTGCCCTGCTTTCCTGCACAGAATATAAAGTGTGAGAAAATCTTTAGCAATAGAGGGATCAACTAAGCACTCACGTAGAGTCACCGCATGCTGCCTAACAACCGTGTAAAAATGAGATCTACCGTCCCCGTCCACATGGCTGTGGTGAAAAGACATGATAGTGATTGCAAGCTTTCATCTTTCTAGGAGTCAGTAAACAAATAAAAATCGATGAAAAGACCCGACGAATTTTTGTGAATAGTAGCCTAAAACCGTCTGGTGAAAAACATCTGTGTGTAGAGTCTCTGCTCGATATCCTCAGCCGTGGGCGTTTCCGTAACGCATATACCCTCCAAATAGACAATTTTCGAGTTTTATATTAGGTTGGTCCGAAAGTTCTGTCCCACCATTTTCAAAAAATCGTAACTTCTTCATAGCACAATGTTTTTTCAAGAGTAAAAGCATATTGAAAACAGCAATTCGTGCACTTCTTAAAACTACCTTGGCTGCTATCCACTAAGCTCTAAATGCAGAGAAAAAATTGGAAAAAGGAAATCACTTGAAATTCGGAATTTTTAAGCAGGCCCATTGAAAAATCCAAAAGTGTGTCATAAAATCCAAAACAGGCAGTATCCTAGGTTTTTTGATTTCCTCTTTTCAGCTAAGCAAGATTCGCGCCGATCGAGCCCTTTCGAAAGAAGTTATGATTTTCAAGAAAAAATGCCAAAAAATCGGTTTCTTAAGAAAATTCATTTTTTGACATTTTTTTCAAAAAATTATAACTTTTCGGAAAACCGCTAAATCAGCGCGAACTTTGCTCATATATAAAGAGGGGATAAAATAGTCTAGGATACTGGCTGTTTTGGATTTTATGGCACAGTTCTAGTTTTTTAACGGGCTTGCTTAAAAATTCCGAACTCGAAGTGATTTCGTTTTCCCAATTTTATCTCTGCTTTCAGAGCTTAGTAGAGAGCAACCAAGATAGTCTTATAAAGTGCATGAGTGCTGTTTTCAATGTGGTTTTACTCTTGCAAAAACATTGTGCTAGGAAGAAGTTACGATTTTTTGAAAATGGTAGGACAGAACTTTCGGATCAACCTAATCTATAGAGAGATTTTCGGATATGAGCACTTCGGTGCTTTCTGATTTCACGGGTTCAGTATGGCTACCATCTATAGTTAGAACCGAATATTTGTCTTCGAATAATTTATTCGAAACATTCGATTATTCGAATAGTGTTGAATACTCAACAAATGACCAGAACTTTCGCAGAGCGCTTGCAGAAGTTTCGCCGGGTCACCTGCGAAAGTTCCGTAAACGTGCTGCGGAAGTTCCGAAATGAGGTTCTGCGGAAGTTCTGAAGAATGCCAATCACAGCAGCAAAAGAGAACACCGAAGCGAGATTTGAACCTCACTCTATTGACTGTGAGAGCCACCTACTATCCTCTAAGCTACGGCTGACATGTTCGATAATGCACTCGAGTGGTTGGCGAGGCAGCATCACGAGACAACACATTCAAAGTCCTGCGGAAGTTCTGGCAGGCCAAAGTGCTGCGGAACCTCTGGAACTTCCGCAGCACATTTACGGAACTTTCGCAGGCGACCCGGCGAAACTTCTGCAAGCGCTCTGCGAAAGTTCCGGTCATTTCTCTGAGTATTCAACACTATTCGAATGATCGAATGTTTCGAATAAATTATTCAAACACAAATATTCGGTTCCAACTCTAGATGGTAGCCATACTGAACTATCGTGACATCAGAAAGCACCGAAGTGATCATATCCGAAAATCTCTCTGTATATAAAACTTGAAAATTGTCTATTTGGAGGGTATATGCTTTACGGAAACGCCCACGGCTGAAGATATCGAGCAGAGACTCTACACACAGATGTTTTTCACCAGACGGTTTTAGGCTACTATTTACAAAAATTCGTCAAGTCCTTTCATCGATTTTGATTTGTTTACTGACTCCTAGAAAGATGAAAGCTTGCAATCACTATCATGTCATTTCACCACAGCCATGTAGACGGGGACGGTAGATCTGATTTTTACACGGTTGTTAGGCAGCATGCGGTGACTCTACGTGAATCGCTTAGTGGATCCTTCTATTGCTAAAGGTTTTCTCGCACTTTGTTCTGTGCAGAAAAGCAGGGCAAAGCGAGATCGGGTGGAGATGAAGCGCATGACAGCGGAGAGGTAAGATGGCCATTTCATTCGGGAGTGTATACCTCTTGACGGTTTGGCTACCCAGTTCCGTGTGAAATCGGGTATGCCAGCTATAACATATAAAGGGGGGGGGCTCGCAGTGCAGGTTAACAGTGGCCCGGGATGACCGGGAAAGTCAACCAGTATGATATATTTGCAAAGATCAAATTCGATGCAGCACATATAGTACAAGAGATATAATTCGATATAAAGATTTATGTGCAAATGTGACCTAAGCATATATAAAAGAAATGTTTCAAGAAAAGGAGATACGCATAAACAATTGTACCCTTTAAAATGTGAAAACTGTCAGACTAACTACTTGATAGCTGGAAAGCACTTTCAAAAACAACAAAGTTATGAGGACCAAATAAGAGTGTATACACAAGTGGTCTCAGATTCAAGCACGCGGTAGAGCAGATAAGAAGGCCATGGAACTTGCGAAAGTAGACTACAAATTACACGAGCAGTGTTATCATCGAAATCATGAGAAACAACGGGTTACATGTATTCCGCTCGACTTGGATTCAATAAGTTGATGTTGGAATAACCCGTATGTAGGCATTCAAAACCTCATCATTGGAAATTACTCATTCAAGCAGGAACTTGGACAAAAGTTACTTAGCAAAACCTTTAATCGAATATGGACACTAATATATAAATACTTAGAAGACTTGAAATGATACCACAGAATTAGCGAGCAAGAAAATCTAATGCTTTACATCGTCATCGCTTTGTTATGTCAACCCAAGCTTTTCTTTCCGGTCTTCTAACACTTGAGGGCACTCTCTCTATTTGGAATCAAGAATTTTGGATCTAACACATAAGCTAGTAGAGGTGGAGGCAGCGGCAACGTAGATAGTTCGTCTGCTCGCGACAATAGTCTAATCTTCAGTCGACACAAGTACTGCAACCGCGGAAGAAGTTGTTTGCCCTATAGCGGATACCGCAAATGAATACTAGAGGCTTCAGCTTCTGCACCACGTCGATGTATGAAAATGTCTCTCGAAAACCAAATTTGCAAAAATAACACCAAACTGACTGCTCTGGAAATAGGAAGTCAGAGACAAAGGAATGAGACATACCCGAATTGCATGCTTGAGCAGATCTACCATAGTTTCTGAGTCTACCAAAGACGACGGACCTCCTAGAAGAGCGTATTGACCGCTAAGCTCTACTCGCGAATGTAACGCTTCATTTGAAGTGGTTAGATATATCACAGGGTACAAAAATATTGCGCAGAGTTACCGGATAAATGAAAGAGAGAACCCACTTTCATGTTTGTAGCTGATGGTAATAAATGATTTTCACTATGGCTATCTCTGACCAGGAATGATTCCTCTTCATATAATACGAAAAGCGTCTCCCCGAGATAGGTCACCCCAATACCTGAATGTATCAAAAAACTGCGATAATGATACCTAATAATGGTACATATTAATAAAGGTTAATTTCTTCAAAAATGGTCTGACCGCGCGCCTGGTTAGCCAATAGGTGGGCTAGTTTTCCAGCGAGTTATTTAACTGACATAGGATATCGAAGAATAGAGAGCTGATCTAGGCTGACGACACCTTTTTCACAAGTGCGAGGTTATGGGCTGCAAGAATTTTGGGAAACACCCCAAAAATTTTCGAAGTGCTTGACGCCCGCCTCTTCATTCAAAATCCCCCGAATGGATTGTCAGCTTGAAAGCTATGTGCGTTATAGAAACGCGCGCCGCTCAACCGATTCAGCTAAAACGTTGCACACATATGTTTTCGACCCCCTGCGCAAATGATAGGCTAATTTTTGCGGCGATTCGTTGGGCCTTTCTATCGATTTAATGATTTGTTTATGTTTTTTTAAGGAACTGAAGGCTTGATGTTCAATCAAGCATTTTCCCACAGTCATGTAAGTGAGCGGCGAAGCTCATTTTCACCTCAGGATCACGAGGATGGGGTTTCGAATCGAATGTGTCAGGGTGAGTCATCCATAACCTATAAGAGAGGGGGGGGGGCTTGCAGTGCGGTGACCAGTGGCCCGGGCTGGACCGGGAAAGCCAACTAG